CACCACACCCACACCCACACCCACACCCACCCACACCCACACCCTCAAACTAAATGTGAAATATATTATGTCTACTCATGATTGAGACAAACGATTATTAAGAAAAAGCTGTGCCTTAGTGCAATACTATACGATAGTTTCACATTATTCTATATGAAGTTATTCTAGTTGAAAAAATGTTCCCTTCTACTTTGTCACCTATATGTATAGATGTTAGATTCGTGAGCAATATTAGTAGAATTGTCTTTCGTCAATATATTATCTACTGATCTAAATTTTCTTTTGAAATTGTTCTGCTCGATTTAATGAATTAATGCAATAATCGAATTGTGTATGAAAGACAAATTTCGAATTGACAATTTATGAACCTTTCAGATTTTAACACTTCTAACAATATCGAAGTAATGTTTTACTGACAGTCCTTATTTTTACAAATTCAAACGCAGAGAAAAAATAGGCAGGAAAATGCTTATTGATTTACAATCTAGAATAAATTCTAAATGCATACAATCAGGTATAAGTTATTTTTAACATAGCAAAAAAAAAGTATTCGACAATCCTTTGCATTACTAAACAAGCAACATGAGTTGGGTAGAAAATGATGTTAAAATATAAACAACAATTGAAAGAAATTTTATTTTTCAAACGAATAGAAAAAAAAGCATGGAGAAAATAAAATTATGTGTTTATTTAATATTCAACTTGTTAAACTATTAACCATAGTGAGCCAGTCATCAAACATCTTTGGATTTTTAGCACTAACAAAATATATATGTTCTACTCCTTTAAGACCAATATCTTTTATTTCTTTGTTAATTTGTTTTTTAATTGATTCTTGTTCGTCTGGTTCAACTTTATCAAATTTGTTGAAAACAATATCATAACGTAATCCTATTTCATCTAAGAGTTTCATCATACTTGAAATGTCTTTCACAGATGCTTGAATGAGAATGAGACGTCGTGAAAGACCTTTAAAGAACGATATATATTCCATACTAAAATAGGATACTTCATCATTTCGACCAGGAACATCCCATAGTGTATATTTAGTTCCATTGTATGGTGTAATTTTTGTTGTCGTTTCACCAACACCAGTATCAGCAACTTTTTGATCAAGAAGAGCATTAAGCATAGTTGACTTGCCAGTTGATGTCAAGCCAAAAAAGCCAATATTGATGCCTTCCATTTGAGCTGGTTTAGTTGCTTGTGCTAAGTTTACAAGAACTTTCTTTGCTACTTTGTCTTGTTGTTCCAGATCCTCAAATGAGTTGATCTTTTCACGTTTTAACTGCTCACTGAGAGTATCAAAACGTTGGATGAGTTCAGCATGTTGCTCACGATATTTAGCTAATTCTTCACGTAATCTGGCAGTTTCGGATGGGACTTCAGATTCTATGATCAAAAAATTTGTAAGTATATTTATAAAATTATAAATATGTACAATCTAAATTTTCTATCCACTCAAAATAAGAGTTTTATAGTTTCGTCTATGTACATGCGAGTAGAAAGAAATTTAATTTATCGAAAATTAGTAAAATAGGATAAGGAACAAAATTTTTTAAAGAAATTCAGCAAGATTTTTGTTCTAGAATGAAAAATAACTTAAAACAAATGTGATTTACACACTTATCAACTCAATTTATTCCAATTTCCAACTTTTCGATATACTTTTTTTCTAATGTAATGCTTGTACATCCAATTAGTATCTTGCATTTTATTCAACGTTTTTTTTTTTGCACTTAGAAGTCATTAAATTAACTGGACGTTCCTGAAAGTATTTTCTCGAAACTAACAGTAGAATGGTCAGAAATAAGAATTCATTTGATTTTCGTTACAAAATTAACTGCTCAATCAAAATATCTTTAATAAATGATAACAATATATGATACAATCATCTCAATCGTTTCGAATTCAAAACACAAAAATGACTACATGAACTTACGTGGTTTCCGAGAAAAGCTACCCATGATAGCTTCAACTAACTGAGTTGCGAAGGGCATAAATGGTAACAATGCTGCTGCCATAATGCAATTAGATCTTGTTTGAAGATTCAAAGCTAGTCAATTTTGGTTTTGATTCGTATATAAATCAATATCATCGATCTGTATATATACGTCTATACATAAAAGTTTTTCCACTTGATTGGAATATTCTTACGATAGAAAAAAAATATTGGTTTTATCCAACTTTATAATCTCTGGTGCAATAAAACATGGTTTTTTTTCCTGTTTCATCAATAACATCCTTTTGCTTTTCTGCATTCTCTTTCCAATATTTGTAGTTCTGTTCTTTAGTATCCGATTACAACTGACAATAACATATGTGCCTTTTTTCTCTATTTTTTCTCGTTATCAATTAGTCATCAAAGGTAAATACCATAGTTTCATCGATATGATGAAAAAATAAATGAGATGAAATATCTTGAATGATTCAGAAAAAAACAACAATTTTTATTCATCACATTACATAAATTGAAAAGAGAATAATTCCCAGTTATATCTTCTCAAGTTGGGTTTTTTTGCAAAATAGATCGAATTACTTGTTGCTTTTTTGGTTGTTGTCAAATTTAATTTGAAGAGTATGTTTTATTAAAAATAATTTAATGAATAAAAATCATATGTGAATAAATGATTGTTTTTTTGTTTGAAAGAAGAGTGACAAATATAATGTCTAGTCTATGGCATTCCTTTAAATTTCAGCAGTGGGCAGATTTCCAAAAAAGGAAATTTCTCTGCTAAATATTCATCTTTTGGAAACTGCAACCATACAAAATGCAAGTTTTAGAAAATATCAGACGCTATCGTAACTACCGCAATCCTATTCAAAACCAACCATAAGGAAAATAAAGAAATTTCCAGGTAATTCCAGAAATTACCTTCACCTCACAAAAGAAATTTTGGTAATTACTCATAGCATAGTACGAAACTACTGGATAATTTCGATAAATACCAACTTCACAGCAGGAAATTTATCAGTAATTATGGAAAATACGAACACATACGGACAAAGCTACCAGGAAATTTCCCATATAAATTAGCTCTGACTCAATAATTACTGAGAAATTACTAAATTTACAATTAAACCACAACGAAAACTGCACAAAATTTCAAATTGCCTTACCATATGAGAAGAACTTTCTCCGGAAATTTCGGTAATTACTAGGAAATTTCTATAATTTCTAAAATTATATGATGCAGGCATGACAAAAAAAAGGAAATTATAGAAATTTCCTGGTAATTTTGTCCGCATGTGCTCGTAGTTTCCGTAATTGCTGATCAATTTCGATCGGTAGATTGGATATTTACCGAAATGATCTGATAATTTCTTTCTATAGTATGGGTGATTACGGAAGTTTCCGAGAAATTTCTTTTATCTTGTGGTGGTAATTTCCAAAATTTCCAGCAAGTTTCATTGACATGTGTTTAAAATTTCGAAAATTTCGAGGAAATTTCTTTCTAAGAGAATGGTAATTACAGATTTTTCTAAGAAATTTCTCTTGTTGTGTATGAATCTCTGGAGATGCTATGAGAGGTGCTGTGGTATTTTCGGAAAGTTCCTTTTTCGGAAATCTGAACATATCTCATTATTCAATAGAATATAGACAGAAAATTACAAAAAATTATGATTGTTTTACTTGAATATTCAGAAAAATAAAGGGAGACTAATAACAAAAAAATGAACGAAAGTATATTTTATTTGCTAGTTTGTGACATTAAATTGATTTTCGAAAAAAAAATCGAAATCTGTAGATTTACATGCAACTCAATCGCACTGGACGAGGTCAATATAATGAAATTTAAAGATAACAAAAGAAAAGATTTGCAGTGAAGCCACTTACTATCAAGAAGAATCGAAAAGAGATCTTACTCAAAAGTTAATGTAAAATATACTGACAAACATTATTTGAATGCAATTTTCGTTAAATTATTCAAAATACGATGTGAGTCTGTTTTTTTTTTTTGAAAAAGATGAAATCGATTAGTTTTTCTCTTGTTTGTGCTCAAGATGCAAAATAGTTTTCGAGATTACTCGATATCTACAATTTCATCTAGAATTCTAAAATTCTACTCGATTTATTGACCAGTAACAACCAGAGACTTTCCGATAATCACATGTGTCTAAACGTATTCTTCAAAAGTTTATACTCGCTATCGAGTTCCTATGAATCTTGTCATTCTTCGATTTGAAGTTTATTAAGCAAATTCAGTTGATCAGATTTCAAATAAATCCATGTTTTCTAGAAATTTAAAGGCATAGAATAGACTAGAGATTATATCTGTTACTCTTCTTTCAAACAAAAAAAGACAATCATTTATTCACATATGATTTTTATTCATTAAATTATTTTTAATAAAACATATTCTTCAAATTAAATTTGACAACAACCAAAAAGGCAACAAATACTACTGGTCTATTTTGCACAAAAAAAAACCCAACTTGAGAAGATATAACTGGGAATTATTCTCTTTTCAATTTATGTAATGTGATGAATAAAAATTGTTGTTTTTTTCTGAATCATTCAAGATATTTCATCTCATTTATTTTTTCATCATATCGATGAAACTATGGTATTTACCTTTGATGACTAATTGATAACGAGAAAAAATAGAGAAAAAAGGCACATATGTTATTGTCAGTTGTAATCGGATACTAAAGAACAGAACTACAAATATTGGAAAGAGAATGCAGAAAAGCAAAAGGATGTTATTGATGAAACAGGAAAAAAAACCATGTTTTATTGCACCAGAGATTATAAAGTTGGATAAAACCAATATTTTTTTTCTATCGTAAGAATATTCCAATCGAGCTCATGAAGCTATTTATATATATATATACTTCAATCGCGCTGGATTATTTACAATAAGCAAGCATTGCCTGCTACTTTCTAGTGTCATGTCAACTTTTAATATGAATATGTATCCTGTAGCCAAACAAAAGTCACTTCGTTCTCAACTGGTAGCATTATTGATGAACAAAATTGGTTTATCTTCAAGTAAGCCATCGAATTTGCCTCTTTAGCTATCTTTTCAACAGTCAATAACTCAGATTAAACAAGCATAGTCGTAAACAGCCGTACACAAACAAAGAAACGGTTGTTTAAGATCCTCGTATACGGTTTCCGTTTCGCTCCATGGGTAGGCACGGCGATATACGACCGTAATACCGACCCTTGTGAACTACCAAGATACGATCGGGTGTGGATGTGAATATACAATTCTGTTCACTTGCACCCACACCTACACTTTCACATTTTCTTCTTATTGATCTTAATTTGGTGCATATTCACTTGTTTATCGTTACAGCATATTGTTATCGATAATAGAATTAGCTATTTCGAAAACATAAACTGCAGATTTTATTTACAGAATTAAGAGGAAAAATCAGTCGCATAGGAATAAAATTGCTTACAAACTAGGAAATGCATTGAATTTCGATTTGGTATTGAATGAGTTGGAGTTAAATTATTCTTAAATTTTTTTTAATGTAGATTATCGTGATCTATCACAAGAAAATGAGTTATTGCGTCTTCAATTGTATGAGTACAATCAATTATCTCAAGAGAATGCTCATTTACACAACGAACTCTTAAAAAATCGGAATTATGTTCAAGGAAATCAGACATTATCTCAGCCGATGGGTAAAACTGGGAAAAATCAGCAATCGGATTTGATATTGTTCGAAGATCCAATGTCACATCATGCAAGAACAAGTAATCTACATGCCGCCAGTATGACTCCTTCTCATTCAAATATTTTACCTTCTCAGACAAATACTGTATTGAATACAAATACCTCTGAAATTCCTCAAGAAACAGATGAAGATGCAGCATTACGTGCAGAATTGGTTCAATATCAACAACGACATGCTGAACTACTCGGACGTTATGAAAAACTGAATGAAGAAATGAAACGCAAGAAGATCGATTCATTTGAATCTCTTGCGGAACATGATAAAGAAGCAATGAAAGTTTTTATTGAGTTAGCTCGTTTGACTGAACCCATGCCGTTAGAAGGCATCAATATTGGCCTTTTTGGCTTAACATCAACTGGCAAGTCAACTATGCTTAATGCTCTTCTTGATCAAAAAGTTGCTGATACTGGTGTTGGTGAAACGACAACAATAATTACACCATACAATGGAACTAAATTTACACTATGGGATGTTCCTGGTCGAAATGATGAAGTATCCTATTTTAGTATGGAATATATATCGTTCTTTAAAGGTCTCTCACGACGTCTCATCCTTATTCAAGCAACTGTAAGAGAAAATTCAAGTATGATGAAACTCCTAGATGAAATAGGATTACATTATGATATTATTTTCAACAAATTTGACAAAGTTGAACCAGAAGAACAGGAAGAAGTTAAAAATCAGATTAAATCTGAAATAAAAAGTATTGATCTTAAAGGAATAGAACATATATATTTTGTTAGTGCTAAAAAACCAAAGATGTTCAATGATTGGATAGTTATGATGAATCAACTAGAGAACACTTCGAATTGAAACTGATATCTTACTTCATTCATTCTTTCATTGAAAAAAACTTTTTTAATAATAAAATGAACTTGATTTATTGATGAGAAAAAAATTTTTCTTTCTGCTTTTGTCTTCTATGTCATAGAATGCTTACATTGTTACATGAATGAATTCATGCTTCAGAGTTTATTTCAAGCTCTATCGTTTTGAAAACGCTTTTCTGAAAATACCATCATCATAAAGTGTAACATTTCTTGCCAGTTTTTCGAGGATTATTTCATCAAACATCATCACAATTCTTTTGCAAAGTCTCATGTGAATTAAATCAAAAGAATATTGCATGTTGACCTTGAGAGATCGATATTTTGAATGCAAATTATTTAGACTGATTAGAGAAAAATATATCGAATTCGATCAATGAACTTTTCATTGAATTAAACTATTGTAATGTCACAAATTTTTTGATTTTGTTCTACAATACGGGCAGGTTTTTTTTCAAACGTTTCATTGTTCTGACGAAAAAACAATTCTCCAATCTGCTGTTCATAGTATATAATGAAATTTTTATCTGAATTATTGATAATGAAGTCTTCATGAATATTTGATGAAGTATTCATATCAATTTTTAAAGTATTCGTGATCTATATTAAAGTATAGAAGTTTCGAATATTCAGATTTCAGAATTTGGAATATAAAAAAATATGTAATTGTTTTTAAATCTATTTATCAAAGTATTACAAGTCTAAATCAATATAAATATCACGAACTGACGCGATCTCTTGATTATACAAACGAACATTTTGAAACAAGGAAATATGTATGAAAATAAAAATAAACTGATATTCTTGTTCACTTTAGAAGAAATAGAGAAAAAAAAACGTATGTATTATAGATCTTGATGAAGATAAACAAAATAAAGTCAAGTGGCTAAGAATAACATTTTGAAATAGAAGCATGATAAAGAAGAAAAATAAGAAAATAATTGATGTTAATAATTATTTTGAAGTTGATTTTTATTATCAATTATCATCATCAGTATCCGAACTCGATGATGTATTCGAATCTTCATCTAAATGAAGAAAAAAATTCGTACGGATAAGTTTGATGAAATTTTTCTTTTTGTTCAAATATAACTTACAATCAAGACATTCTTCAGTTAAATAATTAACCATTTGTAACCAATCTGGAAACATTTTAGGATATTTAGCACTAAGAAAAAAAATATTTTTCTTTTGTTTCAATTGGTATAATTCAATTTCACGTTGAATTTGATATTGAAATTGTGATTGTTCATCTTCATCAATATCATCAAATTTATTAACAACAATATCATAACCTAATCCAAGATCATCAAATAAACGAATTAAATTTAAATTTTCTTTTATTGTATATTGAATTAAAATAAGACGTCGTGTTAATCCTTTGATAAAAGAAATATATTTCTCATTAGAATATGATAATTCATCATTACGACCAGGTGTATCCCAAAGTGTATAACCCATACCATGATATTCTGTTATTTCTTTTGTTGTTTCACCAACACCTGTTTCAGCAACAGTTTTTCCAAGAAGACTATTTACCATTGTTGATTTTCCAGTTGATGCTAAACCAAATATACCAATATTGTTACCTTGTCTTTTAATCGATCCAGTTTTACGAGCTAATTTAGCAAGAGCTTTCTGTCGTCGTTTTTCATCTTTCAAAATATCATCGAATGATTTCATGTTTTTTCTTCTGACTTTCTTCTCATATTTCTCTATATCTCGACGTTTATTTTCAACTTCTTCACGCATTTCAGCTATCTGATTAATCAGAGATGTTGTCACATGATTTTGTCGACGAGCTAAAGAATAAATAATCAATATAAAAAGATTGTTTAATTATTCTTATTTTATCAATCTCATTCTATTAGGATTATCCAAATGATAATCTAATTTAGCGAATTTCATGATGCATTTTACTTTGAAGGTTATTAGTGAAAACATTTTAGATTAAGATCCTCGCAGTCAAAAAAGCCACTTTTCGCGAGAACTATCGAAATTGAAATAAAATTCATGGAGAAATAGCCCGTCATCTGCTTTGTCATACGCGACAAAGATTATTATTTGGCACCTCTTTTTTTCCAAAAATTTTGGAAGATTTTTCTCAGCCCCTATTCGAGAATCATTTTTCGTTTTTCTCAGAGCGTGAGTTCGATGACGCATCTGTAGCAAGACTTCACTACAACGTGATATAAAGTCAAATATTATTTTGTTTGAAAGAGCATGTTAAATCGCAGAGCCTATGAAAGTCATTTTTTTTTATGAAGCTTTGCTTTTATTATATATAGAAACATTTATATAATCAGAGCGCTATTTTTAAAGAGTTTTTTTGAGTCAATGAACTTTCGATTCCTTTTTTTCTCTGAAACAAGAGTTTTAAAAAAAAAGTGTTCTCATAAGCACTGCATTCGGACATGCTCTTTCAAATAAAAAAAACGTAAATGTATAGACTGAAGACTACAGAGAATTTTTGGAGACGAAACTAGCTATTGTTTGACCCTTGTTTGACCAATATCTGTGTCAAATATCATGGTACAGCGCTGAAAATTTCATCCCATTCGAACGATTCGGATCTGAGATCGATTTTTGAGACGGGGCTTAAGAGACAATCGATGTTAAAGAAAAATCAATTTATTTATTTAAAAGAAAGACTATTAGATATAGACTGTGAAAGCAACGATTTTGGCATAAACAAAAAAAAATATTTTTTTTGAGTTCTAAATCAATCATTTATTTATTTGTAATGATTACTTATTTTGAAGTTAAAAATGTTCAATTACTTACTTGACCGTGATCCATTCGCTTCCAATGCTGCTCCAATAACTGTAGCTATGGCTCCAACAATAGGTAGAAACATGTTTGTGAAGTATCAGTTAACGTTTGCAGATGAAATCTGTTTCAAAATGATAACCTAAATGTTAAGCCACTATTTATACTATACTATTATTTTGGAAAATTCCATCAAGACATTTTTTGAATTTATTTCCAATCGGTTTATTATTTCCTTATTGATGTTACTGGGGAAAATATATCGACATATTTTTTTTCCTCTTCATTTCTTCTTCTTTCATTCTGTTATCAACTCGTTGGGTTTTTTTTCTTAGATGACATTTACTTGAATATTAATAGAAGAAAAGAAAATTTTTCATTCCTTTTAAATTTACGCATTAATCATCAATAGTTATTACGAAAACGATAAGAAATATTGCCAAAAACTATAATCGAAAAAAAAAAACAAACGAAATGAAATAATCGAATACAACTATTATGAACGAGTTTTTGTTACAAGTGAGGCAGAGGAGAAAAACAAAAAGGATTAATTTTAAAACTATGTATAAATAATAATATATATCAATTTTACAACATCAAAGAAGTATTCATCACTGATACAGATTGTACTTGGAACTATTTCTTAATAATACATGATAATAACATTGGATTGTCTTCTGTCGTAAAGATTTCATCTTCTATGAAAGATACTTATTCTCTATGCTTTTATGAGTCAATCAATTACAAATATTGTCGAAAATAATATTCTACGATAGAAAATAACTACTTTTTCATATGATTCTATTATAAAAAATTGTTATTTAGAAGTCATTAATCATAATGATGAAAAATTCTATATTGTTATTTTTATTTATTAATTGGAATTTCATAAATAGGAATAATCCATAGACATCAGATAAAGAGAAAAGAAAAGAAAAAACCCATATGACGCACGATAAACATGAGATATTGAGTTTGGAAAAATCCAATCTCTATTATTTTTCGATTGAATTTCTTATCAAATTTACACACATATATAAGTTGATAGTCTTCTTTTGGATTGACAAAATCATTTTTGACGAATCATTTATTATTATAGTTGATTGATTACACAATTCAAGTCGGAAAATGGCAACTATTAATATTACAATAACATTACCTGTTCAAGTTATTGAACTTTTACTAAATACGGTGAATATGTTTCGAGGTAAGTCATCGAATTTTCCTAATCATTTTACTTCGAAATCAAATATATACGAAGCTGACAAACAATCATCAACTCATATAGCTGATAACAGAAATAATGAATGTAATTTTATTATGATACAACTTGTTTCATGCATTTCATATGAGTATAGATTCAAATGTAATCTTGATAGAAAAGATATTTTTTTCAAATTTATCTACAATTATTGAATTCTGATCACTTTCTTATTCATAAATCCATCTATACAAAAAGGTTTTCTTGAATATCAAATGATTCTCTATTATCAGTTTCATTGAATCGTTTATTTTAACCATGATGACTATAAAAAAGAACTTTCCAGAATCATCCAATTATTGTAATTTCTCTTATTTCCCACATTTATTATTAATATTTGAGGTTTTGACATTTGATTTTAAAACAAAATTCATCGAGAGAAAGAAAAGAATATTTTCAAGAGTTCATATTTTCTATCAAATCAACAATTGAATAATTTCTTTTTCAAATTGTTTGCTTTTGCACGTTAACGAGATTGCTCAATATTTAAACAAATTTCGTTAATGCACGAAAAAGAAAATACAACAATTATAATTTAGAAAAAAGAAAACTAAAACTCTTGTAAGATACTATACAAAAAATGTATATCATATTTTTAAGATTATTCTCAAAAAATATATGGATTGTTCACATACAAAATTTTAAGATCACTAAAATTAGGAAAATGAGTTTCAAAATTTGTATTATTGCTATATATCATTTTTCATAGTAATCATAACTCAGATTCAAGTTTATAAGCATGATTTTGTTTCATAGTCGAAATTTATCTAATGTCTCTACACAAACCTTGTATGTTCTTAAATACAAAATGTTTATCTTCACTTAATTATTCATTATAGATCAACATAATCCATGCCCTAGAAATGACTTTGCTCATCAACAATCATCTCAACATCGTCCACAAGCTACAGAGGATACAGAATTACATGCACACATGTCCCGATCTCAAAATATTCCAAGATCAACTGAAGAATCATTATCATCAAATTCTCAATCATATCAAGGCACAGAGAAACCAACTGAACGATCAGAATCATCATTTCATCAACAACTATCTCAGAGTACTACAACACCTAGATCATCATCTCAAGAACATCAAGCAACAGATGAAAATGCTACATTACGTGCAGAAATATCTAAATATCGCGAACAAAATGCAGAATTGATTCGACGTTTTCAAAAGTTGAACGAAGAATTAAAAAGAAAAAAAATTGATTCATTTGAAGCATTGACTGAACAAGACAAAGAGATGAAGAAAATTTTCATCGAATTGGCTAATCTGACTCAACCGATGCCAATGGAAGGTAATAATATTGGCTTATTTGGTTTGACATCAACAGGCAAATCCACAATGCTTAATTCTATTCTTGGTCAAAAGCTTGCTGAAACTGGTGTCGGTGAAACAACAAAAAATATTGTATCATATCCAAGTAGAAATTTCACAATTTGGGATGTTCCTGGTCGTAATGATGAGATGACCTATATGACTATGGAGTATATTTCATTTTTCAAAGGTCTTTCTAAACGTTTGATTCTAATTGAAGCAACAGTAAAAGAAAATTCAAGTATGATGAAACTTTTGGATGCCATTGGATTACATTATGCAATTGTTTTCAATAAATTCGATAAAGTCGATCATGATGAACAACAAGATATTCGACAACAGATTGAACGTGAATATAGAACACTTGGTTTGAAAGGAATTGATCAAGTCTTTTTTATCAGTGGAAAATTTTCAACCATGTTTACTGATTGGCAATTAATGCTTAATTATATGCAAAATTCTAGTTACTGAGTGTTGTATTTGATTCATTTGTGAATACTATTGAACAGCTAGTTTTCAAAATAAAAAAGAGATGATTTATTTACGAAAGGCAAAAATTTTGGGATCCATATTGGGTTGTATATATCAGGCGTAGATTTTTTTTTCAAACTCCTTTTTTTTTGTTTTTGTTTT